AATTTCAACAACCACCAAACGGCTAAAACAGTAAATGAGAGCATGTGCACGGATTCTGCACAAAGACGTCCGTGCCGTCGGGGCTGAAAGCCGGCTGCTCACTGATTCTGATGCGTTCTCAGTTCCTTTATGTTTACATCTTTCTTGGCGCTAGGTTCTGAAGCTGCAGGTTTTGTCACTCTCCAAACAAAACTGACTGAACCAGCAGCAAAAGAAGACTGTTGTTTACAGCGCTGCCGGGTGCTGTTTCTTTTTTGTTATTGTTTTGCTTTTTGTTTCTCTTTTTTTTTCACTCCCAGCAACAAAGCCTAATTTCTGCTGTTCAATACAGAACAAATGTAAAGTTTTTGAAATTATGCAAAATTTCAAAATGCTTAGCTGAGCTGTGTCTGTAATAAAACGTCTGTAACTTTGCTCTGCTTCACTTCAGCAGCATCAGGTAATGTTCATATGTTGATTAATGGGTTTTCTTTCGTGTTTGATCCACTGCAGAATATTTTTAAACCCAGGCCAGAAAATTCTCCTTCATGTTTTTCTGTTTTATCCTCAGTTACTTTGACACAAAGGCATCTGCTGTGCTGCTTACACCTCTGATGAAGTCTCACACATGTCAGCTTTCATTTTAGAAATATAAAATATGGATAAGTACATAGTGATCAGAATTCTAATATTTCTGATTGTCTGAGGCAAGATTTCCCCGAATCGAAATCAGTGATGATGCCCAGCCCTACATTTCACTCACTGCCTGTGTTTGTATCTCTGTCACTGCAGGACCAACATGGAGCGAGAAGTCAGCGCTCTCAGGAGGCCGACAAACCTCACAGAAGAAAGGGAGAGAAGAAATACAGCTGTGACGAGTGTGGGAAAGATTTTACTAAGAAGAATTCACTAAAAATCCACCAACTCATCCACACTGGAGAGAGACAGTTCAAATCACAAATCAAATCACTTTTTATTGTCACATCACATGTGCAGGCACACTGGCACAGCACATGCGAGTGAAATTCTTGTGTGCGAGCCCCACAAGCAACAGAGATGTGCAAACACAACAACACAAACAAGCAAAATACAAGAATGGCCAACCTGAAACTAATAAATATATGTACAATATATAATAGTATATGCATTTCTGGATGTGTATACTAAATATTTTCCTACGTGTGTGTGTGTGTGTGTGTGTGTGTGTGTGTGTGTGTATACACATTTTTACAAATTAAATAGTAAAAAAATAAAATAATAATAATAATAATAATAATAAAATATATAAAATATACAGAGTTGAATATGTGCAAAACAAGTGGCATTTATATACAGTGTGGAGTGCATAATGTTGAAGTTCCAGTAGTGAAGCTGAGGTGTCTATGACGTGTTCAGCAGTCTGATGGCCTGATGGAAAAAGCTGTCTCTCAGTCTGCTGGTACGGGACCGGATGCTGCAGAACCTCCTTCCTGATGGAAGCAGTCTGAACAGTTTATGGTTGGGGTGACTGGAGTCCTTGATGATCCTCCCCGCTTTCCTCAGGCAGCGCTTCCTGTAGATGTCTTGGAGGGAGGGAAGCTCACCTCCAATTATCCGTTCAGAGCACCGCACTACTCGCTGGAGAGCTTTGCAGTTGTAGGCGGTGCTGTTGCCATACCAGGTGGTGATGCATCCAGTGAGGATGCTCTCAATGGCACAGCGATAGAAGGTCCTGAGGATGCGGGGGCTCATGCCGAATCTTTTCAGTCTCCTGAGAAAGAAGAGGCGCTGCTGCGCCTTCTTCACTGTTTTGTTTGTGTGTACTGACCACGTAAGATCCTCAGCCAGGTGTACGCCAAGGAACCGGAAACTGCTCACTCTCTCCACAGCAGCGCCGTTGATGGTGATGGGGGTGTGTACTTCTCTGCACCTCCGGAAGTCCACTATCAACTCCTTTGTCTTTGCGACGTTGAGGGTGAGATGGTTGTCTTGACACCAGTGGGTCAGGGCGCTGACCTCCTCCCTGTAAGCCGTCTCATCACTGTTGGTGATAAGACCCACCACTGTAGTGTCGTCCGCAAACTTCACAATGATGTTGGAGCTGTTAGTGGCTGTGCAGTCGTAGGTGTAGAGTGAGTACAGGAGAGGGCTCAGTACACACCCCTGTGGAGCACCAGTGTTCAGTGTGACGGGGGATGAGGTGATGCTGCCCAGTCTGACCACCTGGCGTCTGTCAGACAGGAAGCTAAGGATCCAGCTGCAGAGGGAGCTGCTCAGTCCTAGATCCTGCAGTTTCCTGTCCAGCTTCGAGGGAACGATGGTATTGAATGCTGAGCTGTAATCTACAAACAGCATCCTCACATACGTGTCTCTCTTCTCCAGGTGTGACAGGGCAGTGTGTAGTGTCAGGGCTATGGCATCATCAGTGGACCTGTTGTGGCGGTATGCAAACTGTAGAGGGTCCAGTGAGTCGGGTAGTGCAGAGCAGATGAAGTCCCTGACCAGCTTCTCGAAGCATTTGCTTACGATGGGGGTCAGGGCTACAGGTCGCCAGTCGTTCAATGAGGAGATGGTGGAGGATTTGGGTACAGGGACGATGGTGGCCATTTTGAAGCAGGCTGGGACTACAGACAGAGAGGGAAAGGTTGAAGATGTGCGTGAACACTCCAGCCAGCTGAGCCGCGCATGACCAGTTCAGCTGTGACAAGTGTGGAAAGTCTTTTACCCACTCTGGAAGCTTAAAAGCACACCAATTCCTCCACAGTGGCGTTAAACCATACAGCTGTGATGAGTGTGGAAAGGATTTTAGCCAACATGCACACCTAAAAACACACCAGCTCATCCATAGTGGAGTTTCAATGGTTTTTGAAAAACATTTATTCTGAACTGTGCACCACAATTTCAAAACATTTTCTGAAAGATGTAACAGTATACATGTTCTCACTTTCATTAGAATTTTGTTTATCAAAAGGTCTGACATGGTAAATGCAAATAACAGCATTCTCAACACTTATTTCTTCAATACAATATGCATGTCCTTCATTCATCACTTTGTGGAACTTCAACGCACTTCTGCTCTCCCCCATATTCCATCTTCACAAGCATATCCTGTGTGGAGATTGAATAAAAATTAGTTGACACTAATTAATGGCACAAATAATCCGGTAATCAATTCCAGCACAGTAAAAAAAGGAATCCTCTTTGAGCCATTACTTGTGTAAAGTATTTTCCCAAAAGACAAGGACACAGGCAACAGGTAATACTGAACTAAATGTAAAACCTCAACCTTTTTTATTTTTACCTAAACCGTGTGCACAAAACTCTGGAGGGATCTATGCTAACGTAGAATCCAGTCAGGACGTCTGCTACTGCTGTTTGCTCGTTTTTTTTTTATGGGCGATCGTTTTCAGGCTTCCAGTAGCACCATTATACCAACATTTCACATTCTAGACATTGTTTTAGGTGTATTTGACCAAAAGTTTGACTGAAAATTCACATGCAAGCTTTTTTTCAAGGCTGTGGTATTTGCCCGCAAACAATACCTTTCAGCTAGCTAAAACAGAATATTATGCTATCAGCGAGCAACATGGCTAATGCCTTTCACACAGCTTTGTCTCAACTCCAAAGAGCCACAGAAGTAAAAGCTAATAATAATAATTGAAACAATCTTTGAAAGAATGACTTACCAAGCATGGCAAACAACTCAAATATGTAGAGCAAAATGTTCTGAAGCGGCTTCACTTCAGCTTCGATTGGAGCCTATGGTGCTGGGGGCGGAGTCTGTGAATTCACTCTATTGGTGTCATAGCCCCTGTAGGAGTTCAGAGTTAAGAGGTCAAGAGTTAATGTTTCCATTGTAACACCTCCAGATTTGACATAGAAACACTCATTTTTAACACTCGATTTTAACCCTTTAAGACCTACCATAGAACCAAGTCCGCCAGAGCTTATATTATATTTTTACATGCTGTGGAGCCATTTTTGGGAGCATTTCAAGTTGCTATACATCAATACAACCATTATAGCCCAAACTTTAATAATATGTCTGCATTAGGTGCATAGTAATTACATAAATTGCAAAAAAGTGCAATAAACTACAAAAAAATTGAAAATCATTTTTGTTTTTTTAACATATATTTCTAGTTAGAGAAATTTAAGAGGCTCATCCCTCAAAACTGTAAATACAAAAAAGTTGCACAAACTAGTTTCCCACCACAGGAAATTTATTTTGAGTGTCTTCATAGTTTTATTTTTGAAATACACCAATTTTTATACACTGCAGGAAAAACGAAAATAAATATTATAGTGCAAATTTGCAAAATAACAGCATATGCATCAAAATAAACTATTTCCAGCAGTGCAATATGAGTCCTAAGCATCCCAGAAACGACACAGAAAGTCATAAACTCAAACATAACTTTTTAAAACACAAGTATAGGCTCATAAGGCCCCGATCGTAAAAAAACTACATTTCCGCAAAATGACGTCACTTCCGGTTTCGGGCAGGTCATGCGGTCATGTGATAGTTCGCGCTGATGGACGTAGGAAGTGTTACAAACAGCTGATCGGATCGGCAAAGCGTGTTTCTGGAATATCATGTTTTTGTTGCTGCAAGTGATTTTTATGCAGTTTTTGCAAAGCTATATGTGGAAGGAAACTGTGACCTAGGACAAGCTGATGGCATAAGATGTAAGTACAACTCCTCCGGTTTCATATGCAAAAAAAATTATTGCGCTAGCTTACGTGGTTGCAGAGCTACCGGGATTTAAAAATAGTTACGCAAAATGGAGCGTGCCCGCTCCGATCGGCTGTAAAGGGTTAACTACTATCATTTTACACCTCAGAGTTACATTAAAAGAATGTGACTCTGCTTAGAGTAAAATTAACTCTACTTTTGCAAGAAGACTATTAACACCAAAACATTTAACACTTTTGAATTTGCTGTGTATTATTGTGTTTTTGTTCCATGTATTTTGGCACAGATTTATGGTTGTATTTTCACATCTGTTGTTTCAAAGTTTCAAAGAAAAGGTTTGGGTCTCCAAAACCTGGAAATTCTACTTTTCATTTTGTAAAAAAAGAAAAACAATTCTACAAAGTTTTGTTAGGCGTGTGACAGATCATTTTTCGCTCTCTCTGATGTAACAAATGGAAAGTTCTCTTAACGTCAGCATACCTGTTTTCATTGGCACAGACTGAGGCCTATCAGAGGAGGAGACTTGGCTGATTTCCACATTGAAATTCTACCTTCTGTACAAGCACTGTGGGAGTGGCGTTGAGGCAAAGATAATCTGGCAAATGATCAAGAATCTCAAGTGTCAACAAACCAGATTTTTCTTAGTTGAGCAGAGCTGATGGCAGTGAAACACTGAAGACATTTCTGATTTCGCTTTGTGATGTCAGAGGAGAAGCTGAAGTCCAGACAACACCAGAGGGTAAGCTGACTTGCTGCAATCCAGATCACAATCAGGCAGAAAGAAGCAGGTTTTGTTGTTATTTTTATTGCGTGTTTTACCGAGGCTGGATTATCAGCAAAACACACCTGGGGCCGAGAAGCTCTGACCTCACAAGTAAGTGTCAGGTATTTTTGGATAATCTGTCAGTACAAATCTACAATGTTGTAGTATGTGAATATCATGTGTGTCAAGGAAAAGCAATAGAGAGAAAAACACGTATAAAACTGGCACACTGCATTGTGTGAGAAATGACCTGATGCAGAGCACCGTACAACAAAGCACTTTTAACAACCCAGGGTTTGTTTTCCTTATTACGCCTCACTGACTGTAACTTATCCTCATGTGTTACATGACTGTGGATTCCAGCTCAATACACCAGCTGAGGGCTATGAGTCCATTCACAATACAGAGACAGTGTTGGCAGCAGGTTCCCTGTTTCTGTATATTAAGTGGACAACAAACAGGAAAAAATGTGAAAAATAAAGCTCATCTTAAAAATCTGTTTTTCTTGTTAGTTTTTATCAGTTAAAGATAAAAACTTCAGGCTTGCTTTCAAAAATTCAGGTCTTATTATCTTTGCACTAAGATCTTTAAGAACAGTGATGCTATTTTCCAAACATTGATTAGTTGGGACCTGTGTAGGTGTAGCTTGGACTTGCTCAGGCTGCACAAGAGACAACTCAAAAATCAAAAGCAGGGGCTGACCTCTCCAGACAGAATCCCACTATATCTCTGCATGACAAATCTCCAGACTCGAGCTTTAATTTGGTTATTCTTCCTTATGAAACAAGCAGTTGTTTGGTCTTTAAGTGTTAGGAAATAGTAAAGAAGATCAGTCAAAGTTGTGAACAGCTGTCAGGCTTGGATTGGATTTCAAAGATATTTGGGATTTGTGTGTGTGTGTGTGTGTGTGTGTGTGTGCGTGCGTGCGTGCGTGCGTTCCTATACTGTCTTGCCCAAGGACACTTAGTAGGCATAAGAATGGAGACAGCAGCAGCCAAGGATTAGCAGATGACCTGCTCTCCAAAGCACCCCAAGCAGAAAAACCTCACAGCTGAATTACTGTTGCATTTTCTTTTTTCAGTTTTCTTTTGCTTGAAAAACATTCATGTGAAAATAGTCACCCCGTATGCTTTTCCGAAATCACAGTGAGCAAGAGCCACATGTTCAAAATACCCTCATAAAAAATGCTTGTTAACCAGAGGTCATCCATAACCAATATCTAGTTGGTAATATAATACGTTATAAAATACACCTTTTAAAAAGTAGACAGAAGATGTTTAATTGTTCATCATTTTTTATGCGTGTCATGTGTTTCGGAATGAGATCTCAGATTACTAGTAAAACAAAGTGCTCCCAATATTCAGATCTGTGCACTACATGGGGACAGTATCTTCTTATCTTTCTAATCCCCACATCCAGCTTCACAGCACAGACTTCTGCTTGATCAGCTCTGTTTTTTTATTTAACTCAGCCTGGAGTGGACTAAATGCAACATTACAGCAGTTTAGAAAATATTCCCCACCAAGTTGACCCATCGTGCATGTTTTATGTTACTATTGTTTATTTCTTCAAAACTAAAGTCGTCAGGGCTGACATTTTCTTTCCCACACAGAACGATGGACACTGGAACACCTGCAAATGTTTCCTTAAGCCTTTTGTGTGCATTGTGGAATATATGTAAAAAGTGCTTTAGAGTGTAAAATTTCAAACAGTAGAGGATACGATTACTAAAGCTGGACAAACACAGAGAATTTCCATAAAGTCTGAATGACAAAGGAAAAGAAGCTAGGCGTGTTTCTTTGTTTAGCGCTTTTTATGTGTTACGTGAGCCGTGGTGGAGAAAGAGCTCCGTTTGCTTGAGTAACCAAACACAGTACAACAAAGTGCAGGCATGCAAAGTACTGGCCTGTAGATAAGAATCAATAAAATGTGCTTCAAGTGTTACAGTGTAAGCATCTTTGTTTATAATGTAAAGTGATTAATATTATTACCATAATAAAAATAATATAAGGGCAATAAATAAGTGGCATTGCAAGTCTACAAAACGTTTGGGGTTTTTGTGTTTAGAAGCGATTTAAAGGATGTTGTTGATGACTTAAGCTTTTATATTTAACCCTTAAACAACCAGAAGGACCGACCTGATGATCTAAGACCATTTGAGCGATAGTGGTGTAACAGAAATGCTAGCATGTATAGAGGGATTCAGTCTGAGAGCTGGGTTTTGTTAATAACTTAATCAAAGTGTTTTTATTGAGTTTTCAGAAAGCATATCATTCATACAGAAAAGCTCGAACTCAAGTCCTACAACACAGTGTAAGACAAAACTATACCCAGACTTTTGTTAATAACTTAATCAGTGATTTGTGTTTTTGACGCATTTTAGTTCATGATAATTCATCTCATTATTAAATTGAACCAATGTTAGAAGACTTCTCAAACACAAGAGGAAACTGTTGGCATAACTTCAAACAGTCTTTACACAAAAAATGTGTACATATATATCTGATTTAACAATCAGTGGGTCATATGATAGTTGGGTTTTTCTTTGACATTGTAGGGTCTACCTTACAATATAAAGCACCTTGAGGTGACTGATGTTGAGATTGGTACGCTGACAAAATCTTCTGAGTAAACGAGAAGCTGTTCTTAGAAGTTTCTGCATGAATGCATCACTTAAAAAATTGGCGCTCAGGTTCACTGTACAAATGTTAGAAAAGGAAACCGGCCTCTTAAATGTTAAATCCTCTGCACCGGGTTAATGTGTTCTTGTGTGGCATGTTTGCATGACATCATCCAGGAAAGTAAAAAAAAAAACCCCTCCTGAGTCTGTTATTGTAAGATTGAGAGTAGTGAAGTCTTTGTGTTACTATTTATAGAGATGTGACTCAATACCAGTCTTCAAATACCAGTTCAGTTTAAGCACACAGACTTACAAACTGTGTAAGCAAGTGATAAAAAATTTAAAAAAATTATTATGTTGTTATTGAAATGTTATTATCATTAAAATATAAAATATTATTATATTATTAGTAATAAATATTCAAATGTTATTATAAAATATTAATCGCTACAGGAAATAGATAAACAAAAGACAACATTTTTTTAATTGAAATTGTTTATATCAGGGGTGCCCAATCCCGGTCCTCGAGAGCTAATATCCTGCAGCTTTTAGATGCATCCCTACTCCAACACAGCTGAATCAAATGGTTTGATCTCTTCAGCATGCCATCATGTTTGGCAAAGGCCTGATAACAAGCCATTCATTTGATTCAGGTGTGTGGGAACAAGGATGCATCTAAAAGCTGCAGGACGGTAGCTCTCGAGGACCGGGATTGGGCACCCCTGGTTTATATGAACAGGTAATGGGACATTTTGCACGTATCCACATACTGAGGAGGCAGTGACCCAATGATATTATGTGATTAACATCATCAGTGCAGATCATATGCTTGTAATGACGTGTTTCCACGCTGTGGTATTGTTACTGATTTAAATCATCCGCCTGGCCCTCTGCCAGCGAGCCACAGTTTTACTGAACGCACCTTTGTTCGCTTCGCTGATCTCGTTCAGGTTTTCTGGCCGTGCCAAAATGAGGCCCTGTGATGGATGGCATCTTGGAAGCATCACAGATCAGCACATACCAGAGACTGGAGCGACCAGCTGCTCTAGTTTCACAGAGCGCCTCATCAGTGCAGACTTCAGCCATCACCACAAACCTACAAAGTGAGACCCATGTAACAACTTAATGTTACTGTAACAAGCTTATTGTTCCATGTGTTCTTCCTTAAGGGTGTTTTTATTCAGAGATGGTATCAGGGTAGCTTTGCATGATTCACAGCTCATTATAATCCTTATTTATCTTATAATGGATTTTTGTGTAAATACCAACCAGTCATGTGAATAAATACAGTAACTGTTGAAGTATGTTTAGCATATGAATTCAGATTTACATTTTCTAGCACTTTTGCACTCACTATGTTCATCTTTCAAATCTCCAACTGTTTACACATTGACGCATGGCTGCCGTAAAAGAAATTATGATTTTAAAGAAATGAGGCACACTTCTTCTTTACTTGGCCCACAGCTACACTACATTTGTCTCTTTAAACCGAACTGACAGACTGACCCTGTCTTTCAGTGATGACCTGCAGATGGATGCGGTGGAGTTTTCCACGATTCTTTATCTGCTGATGAATCACAACCTAGACCTGATAAACTTTAACTTGGAGAATAAAATCGTCAAGTAAGCTTGATTACCCATAAATACGCAGTGAACAGCAGCTCCTATGCTTAAAGCCCTGTCTCTGAGAGTTTCCTGATGATCTTCGATCTGACTGTACTCCTCTTTGATTGTCTCCCTGGTCTTGATGCTTTCACGTGGCTTCAATGTGCCCAGTTTGTGTATAAAATCTCGTCTTCCCTCACCTATTGTTAGATCATCTGTTTGTTCTCTCTCTGCGTCTACCTCACATCACCTTATTTGGCCTGCATCTGCATCCTCCCTTTAAGTCCTCTCACTTACTGTAATATTAAAAACTAGAAGCAGGGAAAAACAGCTGGCCCAACATGTGCACTACTCTTGTACAACCTGACATCCAAAATGTATGAAATGAAAAAAGTAAAATGTTTTTTTTGGCCTAAAATCATATGCGTTGTTTACACACAAACATTTAGCAGAGATAATCACATTTGAATTAAAGAAACTGCTTCCGGTGCCTCAGCAAGTAGCTCAGCATGTTTGATTCAGCAGTTACCCCAAGGCTGGAACTGACCCACAGACTGTTTGCTTGCAAGTGAATTTGTTAACCACTACACCCGACGGACATTTACAAACTAACTTTTTAAACTTTGTCTCCACTATAAATCACAAATGATCTGCCACTACATAACTACGCTGCATACATATTAATACATCTGAACTTTTATTACTTCAAGTACCTTCATTCTGTGTTTTACTCAGGATAAGATGTTATGTTAGTCATCTGCCTCCATTTCACCCTTTCTTTACCATCCTCGTTTGTCACACCAGCCCACTGTCCTCCTTTACGACCTTCATCTATGAGGTGTTACTTCTTTCCTGGCAGCTCCATCTTCAGCATGCTTTGGTCAGTATATTCACTTTCCATCTTCTGCACATGTGCAAACCATCTCAGCCCTGCCTCTCTAATTTTTTCTGTGTTTCGCACTCATTTCTAATCTTGTCCATCCTCTTGCCTTTTTGTTAGTATCACCATCTGTAAAATACGCATCATAGCAGACCGTACTAACATCTTGTAAACCTTCCCTTGCACTGTTGCTGCTTCCTTATTTTACAAATGACCCCTAACACTCATCTCCACTTGCTTCACCCTCCCCACGCTCTCTTCTGCACCTCTCTTGTTCATTGTTTGATGCTTTGAATGTTTGACCCCAGGTATTTACTCATCCACTTTCAATATCCTTGCTCCATGCATCATCAACTTTCTACTTTGCTCCCCTCTGTCACTTGACTTTTATTATTTTTAATATTTCACAATAGCAATCGCATATCTTTACTTTTATTTGTACTTCTGCAAGTGAGATGAGCTGATGGTTTGTGTTTTTGTAGTCTTGCACTGTTGAGAGTTCATAAACACTTGGCTTCTTTTTTTTTTTAAATTTCTTTTTAGAAATGCTTGCGTGAGAACCAACAGTAAAGGGCTGGACGTAAAATTCTAGACTCCACCCTCAGCATTAAAGTAAGATACCTTTTCTTTGATCAGTTTTTACCCTATTCCTTATACCATCAAGTTATACTCATCCTTTTCTCTGGTGACACATGGATAATGGAAGTATATTCCACAGGTCATGACATTATCAGCTGGAGAATAGTCACGAATCCTAGAAAGGTGTTCCCTCGATGGAAAACCTTGGATCCAAAATGAAGTTATTGGACCACAATTCTTCCAACTAACCTGCCTTGAAGTCATGTTAATGATTCAAAGCTCTTCAAACTTTGAAGATCATTATTTAAATCACGTCAGAAAGTGAGGACTGCTGTTGAACCTTATTTTCCAAGGTGCCTTCAGAGCAGATGGATTGATTTAGCACAGGTTTTATGCTGGACCACAACCCAAACTCAGCTGAAACAGTTCAAATTTAACTGTGGGATTCTCTCTTCTGCATATGTCTTTAGGTGTAAGTCATTGCTACACCTTACAGTACGAATGGCATCCTGGTGTGTTATGTAGCATTGTATAGTCTCAACATTAAAGCTTTTTAAGGGTCTGTACAGATACAACTGGAATCAAGTGTAGGTAACTTCTAGTTTGCTAAAGCCCCCATGTTAACAATTTGTATTGTAGTTATGACTTCTGTCACATATGTAAAGAGCAACAGAGACAGAGTGTGCCGGTGAAAATCTGGGACATCTCTTCCCCGAAAAGCACCAGCTGTGCTTGTAGTCGACTGGTTTTGTCTTCACTTTACACTTTTGCTCATGTTAACAGATTCCACAAACATTTAAACAATCCTGGGGGGCGGGGGTGGGTTATTTCCATTAACAGCCGGCTGCTGTTGGTTTTCTCAAAAACAAGGGACTTTGTTGGGGATGACTTTCAGTGGTCGAATAATCCGCATTTTTTGCCAGAGAAAAACCTGTTTTTGTTTATACTTCATTTGGAATTAATTTCCAATAAGAAAAATGTTTCCTTCCATATTTTTACCTTTTTGTTTCACTGATGTGATTATTTTTCTTCATTAAGTTTTTCCAGTGAAAAATATCCATTAACTTATACACACACACGATACCGGTGTTTGCTTACCACAGGAGTGCACAAAGCAAGTTTGGCATAGCCAGTGTGATAGGTGGCTCAAAATAAGCTAAAACCGTTTAGTTCTAAAATGTAAAAAGTTGAACTAATAGACGCTTTCAGCTGCTCCTCTATTTCCACAGAAGTCCCAAAACAGATGGATCCACATCACTTGGCACAGAATTTATGATGCAACCTCCCATTTGTCTGAGCTTAAAGTCCACAAACCTGGCCTAATGTTTCGTTCACTATGACCTGAAATTAGCAAATCAGCCCATGAACTCACCAGGAAACAATTTAAAGAGGTCCAGGCAGACAGATATTTACACAGGAGCTTAAATCTTTTTTGCAACCATAACTATCGCCCCCTGGTGGCCAGCGAGAAAAAAAATATAGGTTTAGGGCACTTTGTATTGGCTTCACCTTTCAGACCTGGAGTTTGAAAAGAGACTAAAGAGGACATTTGAAACACCAGCTGAGTCTCCATCAGCACATAAAGAAACTATTGATTGTCCCCACTTCAGTCAGAGACGTCACAGAGAAGCATGCAGTGAAAGGAAACACTGCAAATACCTGAACTCTGTTACTCACATCAATTCAGGTGTTAATCTATTTGTTTTGTGAAATTACATACAATTCCTTATGATCTTGGGGGATAAAAATCCTACAAGTAATATTTTTTTCTCATTTGTGCTCTGTTAGCTGAAATTCCAGCAATAAACACATTTAGCAGCTAATCAGCAGTAATGAAAAGATGAAAGTGTTGCACTCGACATTAATGTGGCCTTGTGGCACACCCGTCTGCTGCCATCATCTTTACATCATCAAACACTTCAAAACTAATGCTGGGCACAAAATTTCAACTGTGGAAATCTAACGTGCAGATTTTGTATCTGGAAAAGTATCGACTGAACTGAAGAAATCATCGACGGTGGGACTGAGTATGTGTGCTGTACATCACAATGTTTTGTTCAATTTTGTTAACACCAGTGAGGTTTTTCTTGTGGTAGTGTTTTTTTAAAAACTTTTAACTCTTTCTCTCATTAAGTTGAAATTTGTAATTTTTTTAAACCTGAGTAAGCTATGAGAGCAGTTGTATGAGCTGTAGTTTATGTTTTCTGTTATTCAACTGAATGAAACAGCATAAAGAGTTTTTGAATAAAGTGAGACATGTTTTCAACAGTAGATGAGTCGATGTGGGCTTTTAACTGGACTGCTAGGATGAGTCAGGATGTTGGGTTAAATTTGATTTGGAAAATAACTAAAGCTGTCAAACAAATGTAAAGGAGTAAAAAATACTGAATTTTCTGCAATAAATCTTTTAAAATAACAGCTGTAAAAATGCTGTAAAAAGACTATAATCTTAAAATGTGAGTTTAAGGTTCACCATAATCCAGTTTGCATTTGTTCCAGGTTTGCTGTACTGCAACCTTAGAGATCATCATGACTACATTTGACTTGATTCACAGAAAGTCTTAATGAAGGAGGATTTACACCTTTCTTCAACAGGAAGAGGAAATATATGCAGGCACCAACTACTGACAATGTGACACATTTAATCTCACTTTATAGGATTTCTGTTCCTTTTTCTGTCAAAGACAGAATTATCGATGAACATAATTTAGATAGACGTGTTTGGCAGTTAGCCTCTGATGGTATGTCTTGGCAGAACGGACCCCAGCTGTGAAAGGGATTAGAGTAGGACCCCTAAGAGCCTAGATCCTGATGGTGGAGACGAAGGTGGTTTATATGGAGCCTGAGTGAAGAGGGGCAAAGAAGAGGAGGGGGTGGGTTGCACAAAGGCGTCTGTAAAGGCCAATGGCAGATGCAAGGTTAGATTTAAAGTATGGGGCATGACTGCTGATTGGTCTGGTGAAGGCGGAACTAGACCAGTGATAACACAAAGAGTTTGACAGTGTGGGAAAGTCAGAGTGATAAAGCTTAGATTTAGCTGGCAGCACACTCCAGGCCTCAAGGGTCAATGACCTGCAGGTTTTAGATCTCACCCTGGGTCAACACACCTGATTCAAATGATTGTTTCATTACCAGGCCTCTGGAGAACTTCAAGAAATATCGAGAAGGTCATTTAGCCATTTAAATCAGCTGTGCTGGATCAAAGATACATCTAAAACCTGCAGGACACCGGCCCTTGAGGCCAGGTTTTGGACACCCCTGGCATAGATCTTGGTTATGGAAATTCATTTATTTATTTATTTATCTTCACACCACATTATGGCTTTATAAGTTCTACTCTGAGTTCTAGTTAATTTTATTTCACCATCAGTTATTTCATAATTTATGGACTTGAATCTTGCTTTAACTTTGGATTGAACTCTTTTATCTAAGACACAAAAAATGTTTACTGTATGTCAATAGACACCAATAAAACATGCATGAGACAGAGTTGGTTTTCAAACCTTTTTCCATCACTTGTCTGTCAGGCTCCCGTTTACAGATCAAAAAGACGAGAAAAAGGCCAAACCTCCTCAACCTGGTGAAACCAAACTACAGATGCTGGACCCAGGGCGGATTAGGACTACATGTTTGATATGGATACATCATAGATTCATAAGGTTTTCACTGTTAACCGTGCTAATTTCAGTTACTGCCCCAATGCACTAATCAATGGAGAATTTTGGATTGACCTCGAGGCGAACCAGACTGCATGAGACACGTTTATAGAGCAAAAGACATTGAAATAGTTTTTCGTTTTAAAGCGAAAGTAAACTTTATTGTCATCTCTGCTATATACAGTACAGTATATAGAGATGAGACGATGAGGCTCCAGTTCCATTCAGTGCAAAAAGAACAACAATTAATATAGGAAGAGTAGGAATAAATATACACTATAAGACTAAGGTAAGGGGAGTAAATATACACTTTGAGGTAAAAAAGGTTAATTTCAGTCTAACTTTACAATTTAGAATTGTGATTTAAAGTGACCTTGAAGTGGTTTAGAATGACTAACGTAGCAGCTTTACAGTTTACAGTATGAGTGATTTAAAGTGACCTTGAGTGAAATAAAGTCACCAACATAAGCAGGATTGAGTGTAGGATTGTAGGATGGGTCCAATGGCTGTAACGATAATATACGATTATTTCTTTATTTTTCACACCGAAACATTTAATAAGACAAACTTTAAAGTTAATTAAATATAGCTACAAACTAACATGTGGGCAAGGTTACATGAAACGAACTGAGCCTAAATTAGAAACCAAAACTAAAAGATTAAATCATTTGAATTAACTGAAAAAAACGAGTCAGGAAATGAGTCTCAGTGCTGCCATATTTATCAAAATAAAATATCGAATGGCTTCAGGTTAGGGTTAGATTCGATTATTTGTAGGTACATTTGGTTTCCACTGAGCAACTCATCCATGTTAAAATGAAAAACTTTCATTAATCTTTGGTTCTCTTCCACAGCATGTTTATGTCTCTTCTTCATCCCAGCTCCCTTCATAAAAGGGACTTTTTCCTTCCCACTGTGGCCAAAGCACTTGCTCGAAGGGAGTAAACTGATTGCTGGGACAAAGGCTTTTACTTCTGCGGGCCACCACTGTAAATAAGTATTACACAGAAGTACAGCCCAGGTCTAGTTCAAATTTAAAATTATACTGGTCCCATGGTTAGTCATGTATGCCACAGCTCAGAACGCCAGGGCCTCTGACTACCACCTGGTCCAAATAGCACTAAACCCATATGGCACCTCCTGTTGGTGGTGAATGTCTGTAGTTTTCAATGGTTGCCACTTATTAAATACAAAGAGTATCACTGCCAGTCCAAAAGTCATAGCTATGTCATAAGAACCAGGTGTGACATTAGCTGACTCTTTACAGGGGTAAACAGTCAGAACTATGTGGAGCCTGATCAGGAAGAGGTTCTTTCTGTCTGTTCAGATTTGTTGTGATCCAATGGCAGCAAAGATTTTAGTCCTGCATGATCATGCAGATGTTTGGTCAGAGCAGATAATGAAGTGAACGGTTTTGCACATTGGTCACACTGAAATAGCTTATTTGCAGAGTGCGATCGTTTGTGTTTGGAGTATGAACTGAGATTCTTGAAGCTCTTGTCACACTGGTCACAGCTGAAGTTTCCTTCAATGTGTGTACGTTCATGATCATTACGAGTATTTGCACGAGAGAAGCTTCTGTCACAGTGTCTGCACTTGTATGGTTTCTCTCCTGTGTGGACTCGTTTATGAGCTTTAAGCTCACCTGCAGTGGTGAAGGATGACCCACACTGGTCACAGAGGTTCGTTTTAATGCTACTGTGAATGAGTTCATGGCGCTTTAATTCGCCTGCTGTGGGGAAGCCTTTCCCACATTCTTTGCAGTACTTGAGTTTGTGTCCAGTGTGTCTACGTAGATGTATTTTTGGGCTCCTTTGCCAATTGAAAGTTTTTCCACAAATGTCACAATGAAACGCTTTCCCACCACCACAGTGATGACAGGGTTGAGAACTGGATCCATCTGTGTCGCTCTGCTTCTAAACAAAGACACAAACACAGTCAGAGTCAGGGAATTTCTTCAAAATCTTTTTTCCTGAAGGTTGCCTGAAATTAAGAGAATCTCTGCCAATGTCCAGTTACATTTTACTATGTCAGTGATAACTAAAAAGTAAAATATAGTTATTGTAGGTATACCAAAAAGAATACAACAATAACACTCATGTACTTTCAACTAATGCGTTCACACCGAACGCATTAGAAGCGACCAGAGCTTCAGGTTAACATGTAAAGTCAATGGAGGAGCGTGATGAAGCGCGACAGATTTGCATCGCAAAAAACACTTTTCTGCCTGATTCGCGCAAAAAGAAGCCTGGCTGATGCGTTTGAAGCGCGAAGTAAAATACGCACTGCAGTTTGTGTGGTGCATTTTGTGCATTCCCGCTTATTGCGTCTACCGCTTGAGTTGGAAAAATCTGAACTCCAGCGTCAAGTCGCGCCGCGAAAACCAATCAGGAGCCTCCAGGGCAGAAACAATGTTCTTATTTTTCTCCTCCTTCTCCCTGAGGCTCTTCCACTTTAAGCTGGGTCCTTTTTATTCCTGTCTCTCTGTAAATAGTTATATTTTATATATTCATGTTTAATGTTTTTCAGTTTGAGCATCTTAATATTGTTTCAAATAAATTTTTGTAATGACTAATGTGTAAAGCGTCCTTTACGCCACTGCTCTGCTCTCCACGGTGAATAGAGAAGGGAGACCCTCTCTTCAAACGCTAGATCGACAGCTGCCATCTGGCACTACTTCCTCCCACATTTCCGCTTCACGGGCATGAAAATTGCATATTTTAAAGCCTGACCAGTTCGCTTTGGACGTGCTTCGAGGTGCGAATGCGCACACGACCAGTGAATGCACCATTACTCTAAAATTGTCACTTGAAATAACAAACTTAATGTTTCTTTGCAATATTAATCTAATATTTTTACAATTATGTAGAAATTTAGTGTTACACTTTTATTTTCTTTATATTTCACCACTTTATCATCATTGGACAATGTCTTCGATTAGATTAGGTGGCACTCATGGGGATCTTTTTATGGTTGACATTTTTTATATGACCTCGTACAGAAGCTGAAGCGGAAAACTTGATCTCTGACAGTGGTTGAAATTCCCTCATAGTAAATCCCTCAGGTGCGTCAAAGATAACTAAAATGTGTTTTGAACGGAGACAGAAGAATTTGTGCCTCAAAAGTTTAGGTGTGGACAGTTTCTAAGGCCCACTTACCAGCTGTAATGGAAGTGTTATGAAAACATTAATGTTAACAACCAGCAGTGGCATCACAGGCAAACAGCCTACTTGAGAGTAGACTATTTAGTTGTGGTTGATTTTTAAGTCTTATATCTTTATAATGACACTACAATTCTTTTTATTCTATGTAGACCAGACAGAAAATGAGTAACTGTAAACTCACATACAGCCACATTTTTACAGAAATAATCTTTTAATACCATGAAAGTGCCATTAAATAATATAGTTACATAAAGGTTTGTTTTGTTGACCTAATCATGAAAGAAACAAAACAAAAAATGATATTGAAATGTGATGAATCTCCTGTACATACAGCATAGTTGCTAATATTGTAACAAAATTTAATAAGCAGAGTTGTTCAAACACTAAAATTACAAGATAAAAATGTAAACACATACCTCGCAGTAACTGCACTTGTAGAGTTTCTTCCTGG